CCCCCCCCCCGGGACGTCACCTCCTGCTTGGAGCATCCTGGTAGCACCCCGCTGGAGAAGGGCATCTCCTGGGCCCCGGCCGAGCGGCTTCCCCGGCCATCCCGAGGGGATGCTCTGCCCGACTCTCTCCAGCATCACCCAGAGAGACCTTGGCAGCGGGGACTCGCTGCAGCCTGGGTTGTGGGTTCGCTCCCATGGGCCTGGGCGAAAACCTAAAGCGAGCGTGGCAGGGGTGTGTGGGGACGATTGGGACTGCGTGGTATGGGGAGGTGGCGGCGATGCAGCGCCGTGGGGAAAAAAAGTGCTCCGGTCGTGGGGGATGAATGGAAAGGGGATAAATCCTGCATGCGGGGCGATAAATCCTGCCGGCACTGAGCAAATCCCAGTGCCGGCAGGGGTGGGAGCACCCCGGCAGCAGGATGCAGGGCATGTAGCTGCTCTACGGGAGGGAGGTGGCGATGTCACGAAGGATGGACAAGCCTGGGAGGACTTGGCTGTGCCCGGGCTTGGCACAGGATCAGGGAAATGCTTGCTGCCTCCTGTTGCCAACTGCCCTGGGAGCTGCGTGGAAACCCAATTTTGGGGTCCTGCAGTAGCACACCCCCCTAGGGACACGATGCTGGAGAGCAGCTGGTGCCGCGCAGGGACAGCTTGCAGGTCATTTGGGAGGATGCAGCTGTGGCATGGGGAGGGTGAGGACATGAGGATATGCCGTGTCACCCCGCCGTGGCACAGCCCGGCCCGGCGCAGGTGGCTTTGAGGCAGCAGCCAGTTTGGCTGGGGGGATGGGGAGGGGGAGCAGAGAAATCCCAGAGTACTGGAAACAGGCTGGGTAAAACAAAAGTTTGTGCAAGCAGTACCTGCAAGGGAAGGGAAATCCTCTGGAAATGCCTTAAGCCTACCCACAAAGCGCTGAGCTAAGAAATAAGGATGGTAATTCACTCGACCGTTCACAGGCAGGTTTGGCTCCTGTGTAGGGGCACCCACCTCGTGTTCATCCCTGTGGGTTGGTGTGATGCGAGGGGACTTCTTGCACAGCCACACCACTCCCAGGCAAGAGGGGGGTCCACTTTCCATGAGGCTGGTTGAATGCTTCTGAAGGTGCCTGTGCTGGTTAAAAAAGGACAAATTGCCCTCTCATTTGGGATTTATCACTGCTGGAGTGGTGTTCAGTCCTGCCAAAGTAAAGGAGTTTTATTAGTGCTACTGCTGCCTGTGACGAGACCCAGGTCTCTCTCCTAGAAGCTGCTAAGAAGCAGAAGCAGTGCTGGGGTGAGAGTGATGTTCCTGTGGGATTAAGATGTTTGCAGGAGAGGCAGAGCTGCGGTCAGCTGTTGTCAGCTTTTCTGAAGGGCTTGGACAAACGTGGGCAACCCGCATCTGTGCAGAGCATCCTTCCCAGAGGCTCAGGAGGAGCAACGAAACTCCTTGGATGCAGATTGCTGCCTGCCATGGGAGCTACTGATGAGCCTGCTGTTCATTTGTCTGGGGCAAGTTGTGTAGGTAGGGCTGCTCCTCTTCTTAACATCAGGCAGGGATGAAGGGTGAGCAGAGAAAAAGATCAAAGAGGGGGTCTGGAGGTGGCAAAAGGAGGCAGCAGGGTGATGTAGGGGAATGTGGGATCAAAAGAGGTGGGCACATTCCCTGGTGTGAATAGGGTTGAAAGGTCAGGGACATTGGATGGCTGCTTTTTCTCTTCTCCAGGTACCAGGTCAATCCTACAGTTTGCAGAGCACTTTTTGGTCTTTGGGTTGGTCATTCATCATCTTTCTCAATGCTAAGTGTGAGTGGTGAAAGGTTTATTACTGTCGAGCACAATGGCATATATGCAGCATCACCAGTTCAAAAACCATTCATGTGACCCTTCAAAATTAGGGAACCGGCTTAAAAAGTAATGACACAAGGAATAAAAATCCTCAATACTCTGCATTATTTTAATGCTCCTCCAATTTTCTGGGGTTCTTTAAAGGTCATGTGTGCATGACCTCAACCATAAGGTCTAGGACCACTTTCAAATAAAAGCTGGGGTGAGAATGAATAATTGCCTGTATTACTGTGGCATCAAGGCCTGCATCCCCTTGTGCTAAGCATGCAACAAACAGAACAGGAAGATGTTTCCTGCCCCAAAGCAATTCTCCTGTAATCGTGTTAGAGGCGTGTGGGCTGTAGCATAATCAAGCACTGTAAGAGCCGTGAGAAAGTCTTCCATCTCAAATCCTACTCCAGCTCTCCAGAAAATCATTAGCAGGACCTGCCCCTGCTTTTTTTCCAAAGGAGAGAGCCCACAGCCTCTTGAATGCTCTTTCTTGTTCCCCTATAAAATTCCTCAATGGGTTGTTAAGCCCCATAAGCAGTAAGGTGGCCTGAGGCTTGGAGGGGTAAATCCTATCTCCCCACTCTCCCTTGATCTCTGTCTCCTGTGCTCTAAGCTTTCAGTCTGCACTCTGCTTCTTTTCCCTCCCAAAGGAACCTAAAAAGAAATAAATCCAAGAAAGAGTGGAAAAAGAAAAAGCCACCAGCCCCCAAAACAACGTGCTTAGTCATTCATGATGAGTTAAAAATAGTTTCCCAAACGAGCAAATTGCTGAGCCAACCAGATGAGCGTCATCTCCATAAACAAGGGGGCTCATCCTCCCTCTCCTTGGGCAGGGCCTTGTCTGAATGGGCTTTTGGCAAAGCCCTGAGCAGAGTTGGTTGGAGAAGGCTCAGGCCCATGAAGACAGCCCTGAGGGTCAGGGCCAAGCACCCTACTACTCAAGGGGATGTGTAATGAAAAATTTTATCTTCTTTGCATCAGTGGAGACATTTAATAAAGAGTGAGTTATCAAATTGTCATGTGCACGGAGTTCTGCAGAGATGGTGCAGTAAATGGGAGGGCTGCTGTAAACCTGAGGATTTGCTGGGCAAGATAACATGGGGCTGCATGCAGGATGCTCGTGGGATGGGGGGAGCTCTTCTCCCTACTAGAAAAGCATGGGTGGACAATCCTGGCTCTTAGGTTCTCCAGCTCTTGGCCAAGATCAAGCCTGTGATTGTTCCCACTGAGACGCAACGTTCAGTACTCATGGCACGTCTAAAGGCTTAGGCACAATCCCCTCAGCAGAAACAACGCCCTCATATTCCAGTCGATAAATATTTGGCAGCGGATGACTTGTTCTTCCCTTGGGCTATTGAGGAATGGTGGGCTGCATGATTGGTTTTCAGGACCCAGCCAGCTCTTTTGGGTTAAATCTATCTCTTTAACGTAGGAGAACAGCTGATTGGGGTATTAAGGCATCCTGGGGGAACAGAGGCTCGGGTCATGCCAGTGGGGAAATCAGTTAAGCTCTCTGTGTGCTTAGATCTGTACTCAGAAAATGGGATGGGACTTGGCTGCATCCATCTTGCTTACGTAGATGATGCTTTTTTCAAAGTAAGGATTAGCTCTTATCTTCCACCTGGCACATGGGCCCTTCATTCTGCATTGAGTCTCCAGCTCCCATACGTACAGCAGCACTAGGACTAAAAGTCACACAGGCAGGCAAGAGGGATGGATTTTTCCTACATTTTGAACTCCCCCCTCCTCTGTTCTTCATCACTGGGCTCTGGGAGCATACACTTCACATCCCAGTGGGTTTTAGCCTGGACTTAGAAACTGGAGTCCCACCTTGGCTACTACAGGACTGCTCTATGTCCCAAGTCAAGCAGGAGCTTGTTCTAGCTGGCCCGGAGGACCAGGGGACAACCTGAGCACCCTTGCTGGGTCCAAGGGAGGACTACCCTTGGCAATACTCAGCCAGGGAGATCTGGTGCCAGGAGAAGGCTGTAGGCTAGGAGAGATGCTGGGAGTGCCTGCTGCCCCAGTGACATTGGGTCAGGCAGGTGACACTGTCATGTTACCCTACAGAGGCTGGGTTATGTTTTAATGCATTGAAAAGAAACCCGACAGGCTCCCAGCATGTTTCCTTATCAGAAAGAAGGGAAGGAACCCTTCTGAAACACAAGTCCACATCTGGGTGACCAGACATACTGGGACAACAGGTCAGGGAGACAGTCTCTGGCCACTGAGAAAGTCTGGCATCTCAAACTGCTTAAGGAAAGACCACTCTCAGAGTTAAGGGGGGAAATACTGTATTTTCTTTTCAGTTTTCTATGATGAGACAGTAATTCTGACAGCAAATTAGATTAAAAAAAACAGTCACGCAGTTAGAGTTTGGTTTAAAAATGCAAATAAAAGAACAACGGGAGGAGGCCCATTCAGGGAAGACTACGATGAACTGCTCCTCCAGCCTATCCTAAGGTATGTCACTCAGGGCATCGCTTTGGGCTGTGCTCTGTCCCCCGGCTGCAGTCTCCTGCCTGCCTGAGGACAGACATCAGCACAGCCTTGGGTTACCGTGGAGGCTATGACACAGACGGCATAAGGCATTGCACACCCAGCAGAACCATGGCCCAATGGCTTGTTCTGGGACTGTGCTGCATGTCCCACTTAAATCTGATGCTGAAGACGTTGAAAACCCACTGCCAGCTTCACGTCAGGCTTCCCCCCCACATCAGTTCTGATTAGTGGGTACCTGAAGGTCTGTCTCTGTCTTGCTGCGCTGAAGAAATCCTGCAGCTGGAAAATGATGTAGCAGGACTTGGAGGAGCTCTGGGCACTTAACTGGTGTGAAACCGGGGGTCTCCAGAGAAGTGCTGAATATCTGCTGATTTTGGAGTACCTATTGATGATTATTTTTTTGGTAACATGCTACTGTTCTCTAGCCAGTCTGCAACAGATGTCCTTAGGTGTCCAGATGCAGGGCTGCAGGTGAAGATTACTAGCAGGCAGAAGGAAGCTTTGGGAGCAGCCTTTGTCACATCTGGGGTTGCAGGGGACAATGCACGTGACCCAAGTGTGCCCAGGCCTGTACCCTCCAAGAAGTGAGGCATGGTTGTAAAGCCAAACTGATCAGCTGTAGCGGGTGGGGACAGGGGATCTGCAGGCTATGCACTCGCTGTTCTCCCACAGCTCACCTCAGGACCTCTTCCCCACCTTTGCCTCTGATGCTTGTGGTGAATTCAACATTGGGAATGATGTATATGCATTTCACTGGCCATAACCATCTATTTACCCACTGCCCAAAGACCTTTATTGGGAACTTCCTTGGCCCCACCAGTACTTCTGGCAGGATTATCAATGAATTTTGGGGTGCCAGGATTTTACTGTCTGTTTTGCCTGGTCTGGGGTCACGGCTGGTGCTGATCTGGTCCTCTTGCCGCCCTCAGCTTTGTGCCTCACCTGCTGCCATTCCCTAACTTCAGGACCTGATCTGGTGCAGTGGGAAAGCAAAGAGAGTCTTTTACTCCCAGCACAGGCTGGGATTCTTGGCAGATTCTCTTCTGCTTTCTAGTACTGCTTAAAACTCACTTTATCATCCTCCCAGCCCCACCAGTGTTTGCCTACTGACACCAGCCCAGTGAAGCGAGCGGCTCCATATGCGCAGATCTCGGCTCTCCAGGAGGATCTGCGAGCACAGCTAAATCAGCTACAACCTCTCCAAAGCGGGATTGTGCCTCACTCTGTCTGCAACACAGGGTGGACATGAACAGAACTCTCACCAGCATTAGTAAGGTGGAAAGCAGGTAAGGAGGGTGTTAAAGGCAGTTGGGTTTCAGGACAGCGCAGAAGGGAAAGTGAATGCAAGTCCACCAGCTGCCACGGCACCCTCCTGCCCAGGAAACTTGTTGGGTCTGCCAACTGTCTCTTGAGTTTTGGGCAGTTCAAAATGCTGTGAGTAATGTTTCCAAAAGGTCTTATGTGGCTGACAAACACCTACGGATTTTATCAGTATGATTTCGGCTTGTAGATCACTTAGTTGCTTTAAGAAACATTATTCTCAACTCACTGGCTGCAGATGAAGCTGGGAAGATCTGCGGTTTGGGGAACCTGGGAGAAGTTCACCAAACTTGAGAGAACCCGTGTCAAGTGACTTTGCTCAGCAGAAAGCAGGGCCTTCGTGGCCATGAATTCAAGTGACCTCTATTAAATCCTATGTTGACCCCCTTTATATTCATACTCCCTGAAGAGTCCCACCGGCTGCTGCCCCCCTACAAATCCCTGTCCTGTTAGGTCAGGCACGCAGATGGCATGCCTCCAGCTCTCTCGCTAGTGCCATCACTACACAAAAAGACACCACCAGAGCCCTCGGGCTCCAAAACTCAACCCTTGGGCACGCTACTGCGATTCCCCCATTGCTCCAGCCCAGGACGTGCTCTCCTAGGACCAAGCCAGCACAAACCCATTGAGAAATGACCTAGCAGTCGCTGCCTCAACCCATTGTGATGAAGATGGACTCTCCCCCATCTCCCGCTCCCCCACTTCATCAGTGAAAAAGCAAGAAGTAAATAACGTGCCAGACGGCCTTCCCCATCCCTCTCCCCCAGTGCAGAAGCCCAAACCCAAGACCAGCCACACAGCCTCTCTGCAGGAAGAGGCGTCAGGGGCTGGATCCAGCCAGGTGGCCCCCAGGAAGGAGACAAGGGCTGGGAGACGTGAGAGGGCCTTGTTCAGCTCTGAGAATCATTCTTAAAAACAAATACTGGAACACCTAGCAGTAAAGCAAGGGGCTACTCCAGCTGGAGTCATCAACTAGAGACATCCCAGCACCACTTACTCAACGGAGGGAAAAAAGTAGCTAGCAGGGCACTAATGACTATTTTCCATGTAATTTTAAATCTAGTTCCATTTCTTTTTCTTTTTTTTTTTTTTTTCCTTTCCACTCACTGGGTTTCTAACCCTGGTAATCTTTCTCTATGGCTCCTGTGTGTGTGTGTAAGTGTGTGTGTGGCAGAGGCAGTGGGGGTCAGGCGCTTAGGCACATTTGGCAAAGCCAACAGAGTCGTTATCACGGTCAAAGACGGTGTAGTAGGGACCGATGAAGACATCTCCCAGGATCCAGAGTGGGCCCCCGGGGGGTGGGACGTCCAGGCCTGAAAAGCCGCTCAGGCAGATGGTCTCTCCTTGTACAGAAACCTAGACAGAAGAGCGAGAGCTTCAATCCGAGGAGGTCCTCCCTTCCCTCAACCTCGCAAGCTGGGCAATAACACCTGCCAACGCTGGCTGCGCTTCAGTCTCTCCCAGCTTGAGATCCACAGCTTGCAAAAGTAACTCCCAACCCACTGCTCCCATGGCTCCAAACTCAGCTCCCCCTCCTAGAGCCTTTATGCAGCAAATCATCAAGTAAAGCCACACATGCCCATAAACCTCCCAGCCCACGCAGCTCTGAATTAGAGCCATTATTGAAATTCTGCACAAGATGGTCCTTGCAAGTTGAATTTGATGGCTCAAATGCCAGGCTGGTGGCCTCTGCTATGGTAAGGCTTCATGGCACCAGAATCCATCAGGAAAGGGCAAAATGTTTGTAGAAATTGATGCAACAGCCTGCCTGCCCTTCCTCTCCCATACTGCTATCGCTCATGAGCATCATGCAGGGGGTCTCATTTCCCCAGGACTTTGGTGAGGTTGCTTGGGTCTATCATCAGTGACACCAGCCCGTCACCCCAACCTTTCAGACGTTTTCCCAAGTGCCAGCTCCAGTCTTGCTTTTGCTGCTCTTGCATTTTGTGTTTCATGGTTGAGATTTGAGTGGAGGAGGCAAAAGTTAGGCCCTGGGGGAGAAGCATAGGGCTGGCAAAAGCTGCCTGGACATACCTTGAAGACATACTGCTCTCCGGTGAGCTGGTAGGGCTTCCCTCCTAGTGTTAGTGTGACAACAGGCAGAGATGACACCTTATCACAGGGGATCACGTACTGAAACGGCAACAGTAAAGGTTTTAGATGGCAGCTGCCACAGTGTCAGGAAAGGGCACGGTCTCTCCCGGGCACAATCACGTCTTTGTTGTGGTTTTCCCCAAAACCAGCTCATCTCAGGGTGCAGAAGAGGCTTGTGCTGGGCTAAGTGGGCTGCTCCCTGCCCAGGGCTGCAAGCTGAGGGGCCAGAGGGTTTTAGGGATAGGGATAGAGCCAAAACTTTTGGCTCTGCTGAGCCCCAGGGCCCAGCACCCGATGCAGCAGGGCTGGAGGTCCTTCCTCTTCCACAGGAGAGGGAGATGTGGCTCAGTACAGCCTAGAGACTTAGACAGGGACTCGCAGTGTGACGAACAGACAAAGCTGGTTTAATTAACACTGGCAAGTCTTGGGGAGGGTGGCAGGTCTAAGTCAGCTGTTGCTGCAGCATGGGGTCTCCAACACTGCAGAAAAGGCCTACAAGCATTCATGGCTCTGTGATTTGGGAGGGGTTTCAGAGCAGAGCATCCTTCCTAGAGGGTCCTTATAATCCCTGTTGCTCCACAGTTTCAGGGAGGAGAGGTGACCTTGTGAGATTAACTATGATGGTTAAAAACTTGGCAGGGGAGAGTTGTCATTTGCATTAAATATATTTGTATTAAAGTGCCTCTGAACTCACATTAACGTGAATCCTTGGCCTCAGCTGCAACTCATACCCCTTCTCCTCCACCTCCCAGAGATGGGTGGCAGAAGTGACCCAAAGCCTCCCGAAGTTCATGGGACCTGGCCCTCTACTGAGAGTGTAAGCAGGGCAGTGAACACTACCCGGGGTCAAAAACCAGAGGCGTCCTTGCTATGCCAGGGGCTTTTCCAGGAGCAAAAGCTGGGAACAGAGAGCAGAGGGAGCAGAAGACCAGGGTGTCTAGAAGCATCTGGGTGCTGCGATGGCCACAGACTCCCACCTTCCCAGCCTGGCCTCACCTGGCCTTTGATGAGTGGTTTTGCACCAATGGCTGTCTGCAGCTCCTTCACTTCCTTGGTGGGGCCAGTGATGAGTGAGGTTCCTGTGTCCACGATGGCCTCGCAGCCCCCTTTGCACAGAGTCAGCCCATTGGCAACGTCCACCCTGGGGAGAGATGTCCAGACAGAGACAACTCTTAGAGGCCTCCCAGCGAAGGCTGCAAGAAGCAGCAGGCAAAGAGTTGAAGATGGCTGAGCCTGGGCAGTATGCAGGCATGCAAGGGAGGGCTGCGACAGACGTCCGGGAAGGACAGATGCTCAGAAATACTGATGCAGCACCGACTTAGTGCACAGACCCCCTGGCTCCCTCTCACCTGCTCCTGATTGAGCGGGTGTCTTGAGATGTTACGGCATTTCTGCAGAGAGCCTGGACTGCTGCCTGCGTACCCTGCCTGCTACCTGCACTCCAGAGCAAGTACTGCAGCTAATGGGCACGTGAGCGAGCCAAGGGCAATGCATTAGGGACTCGTATGACCTGTGCTACTGCAAAAAGCAAAGGATTAAAGGGGTGTTGTGACAGCTGAGAGGGTCATGGGCAAGGGAAGGGCTCGTGTACATTGAAGAGGCAAGACAGGAGCTGCTTGGCTTCCTCACCCGCATCGCGCTTCACAGCAGCGTGGACAGATAAAGCCTTCCAGCTAAGGGTCTGCCACACTTTGCCAACACAGCAGGGCTGGGGGAAGATGAGAACTAAAACTCTGCACTGGGGAGGGATGCAATCCCTAGGAAAAGGACGCACTCTGATCACAGGCCGCTTTTAAGTTCCCATCACGTGGGAGAGCTCAGAATAGACTGTGGGGCTGGCGGCCGGCAGCTCAGCCCGCTCTCCTCCCCTCTGCCTCCAACAATGTGCGCTGATTGCCACACCGTGCCCTTCAGTCAAGGGCTGGCTTCCTGGGGCCTCATCCTGCTCCTCCGGAGCTGCGTGCAAGCGAGCCACACAGCTTAGGCCTCGCTGAGAGCTGAGCAAAGCCTCAGCAGGGCTCGCCCTGCCTGCAAGAAGGACATGCCGCTGTTTTTCCCTGCTTCGCAAGGGTGCAGCAGGCATTTTCAAGGGCCAAGCTGTAAACAAGAGGTAAAGATTTTGCAGAACATCTCCTGCTGTTTTCTGCCTCTCCTCCCCTTCCAGCAACAAACAATCCAGCCTTAGGGCGGGATTTTAATCTGCTTTTTTTTGGTGTGGATGTGTTGCAGGGATAGAGATGATTCCTTTTCGGGGAGGGTCTCAGCCCAGCCCCAGGTGTGAGCTGTCTGCACACATGTCCCCATGCATATAGTCGGGTGGAGGGGGGGACTTACGCATCCATGTGGACCTGCCAGTAGGCCTTGCGCGTGACATTGACCCAGCTGAAGTCGCCACTGTAATACTTGGGGTCCGTCCCTCCCAGGAGCAGCTCGCCACCAGGCTGAGCTGTGGGGTCTCTGAAAAAAAAACCAACCAACAATCCATATGCGTGAACATCAGAGGCAGGGCGGAACAAACCCCTCCATGTGCCCCCAAAATACATGCTGGGGTGCTTGGGGGTGAAGCACAGCATTAGCAGCATTGGAGACAGATGACTGACTTACATCATGCTATAATATGTCAATATAAGGACAGATACTGTGAGATAGGCTGGGGTGGGGACATGGGAATGTTTTGGCCCAGCCAAAGCATCTTGCAGCTTTTTGCCTGGTGCTTTTCAGGGCCACCTGGAGAAACTCACTGCAGAGAAGGGGGATGGCAAAGGGGAACTGAGCACTGACACAGGGGCCCCCCAAATAATCAGCTTGTAACAAACACCCGTGCAGGGTTAGACATGGCTGATGCAGCGTTAGGTTATCTGCACTCGACTCCGCACCAGCCAGCAGCCTCAGAGCCGAATCCTCAAGGTTACCGTCAGATAAAAGCTCGCTGCTGAGCAGATGGGAAGAAATATGGTGATGGGGGAGGGCTGGCACTTGAACGGCCAGCAGCAGCCCTCTCTGCCCTCCCTGCTCCTGGCGTGCTACTTTTGGGCTGAAGTAGTTCAGAGTCCCCCTTTGGTGCCAGGAGGGTGATGGGGTGTCCTGTGGGGAGGATCAGTGGGTGTGAAAGCACTGGGAGCTGCAGAGGAGGATTTCCTGGGGGGTGAGGGAACGATAGCCCCATCATTAGTGACAACCTGTGGGGGACATGCCTGCCTGGGAGGTTACATGGTGGTGGCCATGTGGCTCATGGATTTTGGCAACAGGCTGGGGCTGTGTTTACTCCCCTAACCGGGACTGCACTAGCAGCTTGCAATCTCATGATCACAACCCTGTTTATTTTTATTTCTCTTTCCTCTGGAAACATCCTCTGTCTCTTAATCAGTTAAGAAATCCAGTAGTAGACCTACCCAGCTTTTTATCAGTAAAATGGCTGCATTTCTGCTTCCCTTCTTAATTCAAAGCAGTAAGAAGAAATTTTGGCCTGACTGCTCCAGATAGGAGACCTTGCTGAGACCTCCCCAACAGTGCTGGCCAAGGTGTAAACCGGCACATGGCACGAGGTGCTACCAGGAGACATAGAGAAATGCCCAGCTGGGCTTGCCCTTGCAACGAGAGGTGTGGCACCAAACCCAACACTACCTGTTCAGGTAGAATGAGAAGATGTTTTTCTCGATCAGCTTCTGTTGCATGATGTTATCGAAGAAAGGGGTGACCTTGTCCACAGAGATCCTTGGGAATGCCATGCCCAGGATGCCATCGAACTTGGCAGCGATGAACGTGATGCCTGGCTGCTTCACGGCCTCCCCGAAGATCTGGTTCTTGATTTTCAAGTTACCGAGCTGAGGGGAGATGGGGAGGGAAGGGAAAAGCAGATTGTAAAGAACACTGGCTTGGGGGACCAGGGCGGAAATGGGATCTCACTGAACACAGGCTGTAGCGTATCCCTCAATACACTGCCACACTCCTGCCTGCTTTTACCCTTGCATTTGTAGGCAGCTGCAGAAACCCTGGTGCCACTCTCCTCGGGGTGAGGGGTACAGGGCACTCTGGCCACATAGCGGCAATTCCTGAGTCCCTGCAAAGCCCAACGCACCCCTAAGGGCAGGAGCCCCCCCCTGCTCTTTGCTCACCTCACTCAGCGTTTCAGCCTTTTGCTGGGTCCCAGCACTGGCCATGCCATTTTGCAGCTCCTCCTCTTTGCCCAGAGGGCCCTATATCACTTTGTCCTCCCTACATCCCTTCCCCTGCCGCCTACTTCATCCTTTCCTCCCAGTCTGAAAAGCTCTTGTGCTGCACCTTTAATCCTCCTCCCCACTCTGGACAACGTCTAAGTCATCTCTATGTCCTACCTCCTCGGGTGCTGCACCCGTGCCCCGGTTGGGAGCACAAACCCCTCTCACCTCTGCCAATGACCCCTGCGATCTCCCCTGCATAAGAAACATCCCTAGGGTACTGCTGTGTCTCCCAGAAGAGCCACCAGCCTGCAGAGAGCTCCTGTGGGAGGGGAGAAGACACAGCCAAGAAAGTGAGGTTGAGCCCGAAGCACGAAAATAGCAAGCCGAGTACTGTGAATGCAAAGGTCACCTCTCTTGCCAGCCATGAGAAGGACTGGTGTTCCCCGCTGGAAAGCTGAAATGCTTCGCAAGGGCAGATCCCCGGAAAGAAGGAGATCACAGAAAGCAAGATAGCTCTGCTGACGGGGAGCAGGATGTATCAGCTGGCTCCTGGCTGTAGCAGTTCAGGAGGTTTCCGAGCTTCTGGCTGATGACGGGCAATTTTAGAATCCGTGCTAGGACAATTTCAGCCTCTCAGCCTGCAGCTAGCAGCCCTGTAGTGAACCAGGCTGGACTGAAAAGCTGGCCTCTCCTACCTGATGGCAGATAACGATCCCTGTAAATTACTAATATCCCCCCAGGGTTAGACAGTGCAAGGCTGGGTCGGGCGGTGCTGGCTTTAATGGTATCTGAGACTTGCACTAGAAAAGGGCAATCGAGCCTTGCAAAAGCTAAAAGCCACAGGACAGGATGCGGGGCGAAACAGCTCACAGCAACACATCCGCTCGCCGGCGCATGGCAAGTGCCCCCGTTGCATGCCACAGGTTTACAAAAGCCACCACTCCACCACTTGGCACAGCTGGTCCTGCAGCAGCTCAGAAAGTTCAAAAAAGCTTCCACTTAAAAAAAAGTAAAATGCAATGGACTGATAAAACTGAGCGCCAGGTTCGTTGAATATTGTCCTGGTTGCACATCCCAGGAGGGAGGCAGATATCTGCTTGGTGGTGGGGTCTCAGCAGACCCTGCCCACACTTGGTCCTCAGCGGGACTGAAAGCCAAGAGCATCTTTAGCACAGCACTGGTGCCAGGTGACAGATCCTTTGTCTCTGTCCCTCGGCTGGCTCTCGTCCAGACACAGAGAGACCAAAAATCATTACTAGTGGATGGCTGTGCAGTGGCTGCCCTTCAGCGCTTTGCAGACAGGTGTCGGCACCCTGCAGCTCGCCTGGCCTCCCTGTTAGCGGCCTCAGCCAAGCGGGCAAGCGCCGGATGGCAAAGGCAGACTAGAGGTGAGGGCCTCCGTGGCACGGTTTGGCACCAGGGCTTGGGGCTCCCCTCTGCAGAGGCACAGGGGAGAGGCGAGGAGGGGCATCTCCTGTGTGGCATATCTGCACTGCAGCCCTAGGAGAGATGGGGCCACATCGCCATGTGCCCCACAGGCAATGATGTCTCCTCTGCTGTCCCTGAAGGACATCCCAAGGTCAGACTGCAATAAAGGGATGAGATGCCTGAGCAGCAGAGGGCTGGCTGAACCCGCTGCTCTTCGGAGAGCGAGCAGCACTGGGGAGTATGGTGCTCCAGGGCATCATTCCTCCACAGAAGGAGGCAGGATGTTCGACATGAGCTCGTCACTCTCTCCAAAAAAAATTCAGGGCTGAGGGACTCTGGACCACCTGCCAAGCAGCACCTTTCGGTCAGATGTCAGTGCTTACCACAGGCTGCTGTGGCTGCTTCCACCCATCGGGATGGCTGGAGCCGAGAGGGTCACCCTGAAGGCTGTTTCAATGTCTTGTCTTTCCAGACTACACCCAACTGGGAGCTTGCCTATGGGATGTTGTGCATCAGAGGAAGCATCTTGGTGTCCAAGCTGAAGGTCCCTGACCCTCTGAGTTGGCCCTGCTCCTCCTGTGTACTGCAAGCGTGACACTGCTCAGGCTCCATGCAAAAGGTTTCTCTTGCTTCTGCCCAGACAGAAACCAAATGCTACAAGCTGTGCCAGCTGCCAAGAGCCATCCCCACTTCCTGAACAAGCTCAGGAGCAAAATCCTACCTCTGAGTCGCTGGGAAGTGGAGAGCTAATTAGCAAGCAGGCATTAGGGTGATAATTACAAACGAAAAAAAAAGAAGAAAAAGCTGCAATTTTCCTTCTGACTCACTTCAGCCCCTGCATTAAGCCAGAAAGTGCCTAAACCAGCCCACACTTTCACAGGACAATAAAGTTCGCTGTTTGCCTTGCTGCCCTGCTCTATTACTGGGACAAATGCAGATGCCTCCACCTCCATCTGTATTTTGCAAATGTAATGTAAGAGAAACCATTAATACTACATACACGGTGCCTTCATTTGGCGAGAGCTGCGGGAAGGCTCAGATGGGTGGCTTTTTTTGCAGCAGGGTGATTCTAAGTGAACCGAGGGATGTGGGAATTAAATGGCATGAAACAAAACTGCAACGGTCCCGAAGCTTGGTGGGCTGCAGGAGGCAGAGAGCAAAACCAGAGGTGCAAAGCTGCTGGCAGCCCCTGTGGCTCTCCCCCACAGCCCTGTCTGCACTGATTTTCAGGGTTCACGGAGCCCATCAAAAGCCCTCTCCCCCAAAGAGGGTCCTGCACCCAGCCTGAGCTGCTGGCATCTTTGGATGCAGCACAGAGGCAACGGCTAGCCTGAAATTTTCCTGCTATAAGGATGGGCTAAAGAGTGCTCCTTGCATGAGCCACCCACTTCAGGCTCCTCTTGGATATTTTTCTTTTGATCCCGATGAAATTGGTAAGCCAATACTTTTCAGCTGAACCTAACATGAAAAACCCCAAATCCCTAGATTTATGTGCTTATTCAACACTTTTGCTTTGTCTCACCCCTGCAAAGCAAAGATATGCTCTTATCCCTGCCAGGAGACCAAGTAATCTGGGAGCACGTGCGCCGCTGACCTTTGGCAGCTGGCAAACGCTCATGAGCATCTGTACCTGGGAGGCAGTCGTAAAAGGCACCCACCATTTACAGGACAGAAAGCTCAGCCTTTGCTCTCTGAAAAGGAAATGATGGAAAGCAACCACCAGCAACCCAGCTACCTTGCGTTGGGCCCTGAATGCTGCTGGGGAAGCTCACCCAGGTGTTACACAGCCTTTGCAAACATAAGCACCATTTCTTGACACGAGACCAGGATGGGGCATTGAAGACCCCATTTCTGGCCAGTATTTGGGCAGCTTCCCATGTGGACATCCACTGCCGCGTGGATATTGGCCTGGAACAAGCTGGGCACCACCAGCAGCCTGTGCAGAGGTGCTGGTATGCACTTGGGCTAGGAAATTTCTGGGGTCAGGAGGAAGAGGGTTGGAGGGATTGGCCAGAGACCATGTTTGCAGAGCACCACGTGTGCGGTCCACGCTCCTAGCCTGCTGACCTGCTGATTAATACCTTCCCCATTCTCTGCCTGCCTTGGTCATTGTCAACTCCTCAGCCATCATCACCACCTCATTTCAAAGCAATTGGAAACATGGCGCTGAAGCATGCTTTATACAAGTAGGACACTTAAGAAGGGAGACCTGTTGAAATCAAACAGCTTTGAGCACTCTGCTGAAAGCAGGCTGGGGCAGCTCAGGGCAAGGGCAGTTGTTACTCACCGTGACGGTGTCCTGACTGAGGTACCCAGAGAGGCTCCCTGTCCCGTAGTGGATGGCGAACTCGGTGCCATTCTCCACATAGGTGCTGGATTTAGAGGCATCGTACTTGTGGTGCAGCACTGCAGCCAGGGAGAGGGACACAGGGGGACATAGAACATTAGTCCTCCATGATACCTAGGGCTCCCCGATACCTAACCCCACAGCACCTGGCTCATCAGGACAAACGGACACTCAGCAATGGTAAGGTGGTCCTGAACCCAGCATTTGCCAAGCCCAGACTGCTTAACAAAGCATTTCCGATGTCTGGGGAATTAGGTGGGCAGATCCAATTTGGCTGTTAAATCGGATTTGGCCAAGGGGTATTAAAAGCCTAGAGCCTACGTGGCTGGTGTGTCAGGGTGTGTTAAGACAGCAGAGCAAAACGTTTCCCTCTGTGCCACGGAAAACCAGGGTGGCTTTAGATATAGCCTGCTCTGGGCATGAACATTTTTAATGGATTTATCTGTTTCTTTTGCTAAGACTAGGTGGAAATTTTTTTACATGGTCACTCTTTTTTGCACAGAGAGGGCTCAAAATATTCTTTTATTTGCAGAGGAGAAGGGCTTTCCCCTAGTCTAAGCTGCTTTTCCTCTTGGAAGGGTTGGGAACTGTAAGATATCCCTGGTTTTATGGCCAGGCAGATACCTCCTCCGCAGATTCCTCCCGAGTCACGAGTTGGGCAGCGGCCTGTGGCAAGCTCGGCCAGCCCAGCTCCACAACTGCTTGCTGAGCGGGGCAGACAGCGGCTGAGGATGAACCAGCTGAGCCCTATGGAAACCGACACGCTACACAGGGACTTCCTCAGCTGGACCGTCTGGATCCCAGTCTGGCAGAAGGTTAGGCTCATTGCATACTCATAAAACAAGCCTTTGGTCCCAGCACCTCCCGCACCACTGCCTTGGGAAACCAGCTCCCTGCTACAGAACAAGAACCCCAAGACAGACTAGGTCTGGACCTCATCAGCCTACTAGTGTTCTAGATCTCATTTCACGCATGCAAAAAGAAGGTCCGTCTCCCCTCTGGGCGCTACAGGACCATACAAAAAGTCCAAATTTCCTCCCTATCCTCATTGAGCACTGTGGGTCGCCTTTCATGGTTGCATTTGTTGTCTCCACAGGTTTCTCTGCTCTGCTTAAGCAGCACAGACAGTGGCTTTTAAATGGCATTTTGCCATAGCCGGGTTTGACACCTTCAACTGTGGAGGTTTATTGTGTAGGAATGCTACAGAGCAAAAAAACTTGTAGTCCCTAAGACGTTCTCACCTCATCGTGCCTCCCTGGCTTTTGTTAATTATAAATCCATAAACATGCATGCACATGCTCCATGCGGCAATAAAGCAGAAACTAGGACAGTTTGTATCAGATCTGGCAAGAGGCTGATTTTTTTTCACCAGCCTTGCGCAATGGGGCAACAGCAGCGTCGGTCTATAATTTGGGGAGAAACATCACAACCTGTGATGCTGCTCCCTGGCTGCAGGGCCGAGGCTGTTGGGGAAGGTTTGAAGCTGTGTGTGGGTGATGCAGAGGGGAAAAAACAGGAAGGGAGTAATGAAGGATTGATGTGGGAGGTTGGGATCCTATTTCCAGCTCTGACCCTAAAGACCCCATCAGCCTCTGGCAAGCCCTTTCATGCTGCTGCCTCAGTTTCTCCTCTTGCAATGCCAGGATCTGCACTTTGCAGGGAAGAAGAAGCTGTTGAGCCGTGGCTGCCACCAGTGACACTTACGGCAAGCGATGTCCAGCAGATGACAGTGCACAGATGGCACCCAGAGGTTGGAGGAGCCAGTGTCGAAGACCACAGTGAACTTCTGGGGGGGGGTTCCAATGCCGATCTCGCCGTAATACTGGGCCTGCAAAGGAGGAGAAGGGAGCCATGAGCTGAGACAGCCAGCTGAAAACAGGGATTAAAGACCAAAAAAAAATCTCAGGATTGAAAAAGGGACCACCTTATTATCTAGACACTGCCCTCCTCTTGTTTTTTGGCAGTAATGGGCTCCTAGCCTTCTTCCTCTGGAAGGGAGGCTCCCTTTCGCTGTTCACACCTCATTACAGCAGGTGTGAAAAGGATAAATTGGGGAGGAGAAGTGGGATGGGTGCTTGTGGGGGAGGACTTTTGGGGCAAGGAGACAGGGCAGAAGACAAGGGGGAAGGTCTGCAGGCTGGCATGCAGTTCACTAGACGGAAGAGAAAAAAGATAGGAGAAAGCCAAGCAAAACACCTGCATTATTGAAAAGCTAAAACTGGCTGGGAAGCTGCTTTGCTGGCGAGTTTGCAGAGGAACTGTGGGTTGCAGCGAGCAGCAGCTCTGCCTGAGATGGGTGGAGGTACTGCTGCTGGGGCTTTTGGTGTGTGCTGGCGAGCCACTGGGGTGGGGAGGAATAAATAAATGCTAAGTCGTGGGCATCGCAAGGCTTTGGAGGAGCTGGAGGGAGAAAAGGCCATCAGCAGCACCGTCAGAGAGGGATTTAGGGCTGCAGGGTGAGAGTTTGGGAGAAGTCCCTGTAGCGCAGGTGTCTGATGGATACCCCTCTGCTCTTCATGCATCTCTGCTAGGACTGGAAGAAACCTGAGTGCCTGAGGTGTTTGCAGGGCATCCCTCTATCCAGAGGGGAGAGGATGAATGGGGAATGCTTGGCAGGTCCTGGATGGGCCCATTCTTCCCCAGCCCTCCCAAAGGGGCAGAGAGCCATGTCATGCTTGGAGAGCAGCTGGATCAGGGCCCTGGAGAGAAGGCTGAGAGCAAGGGAAGTCAACCTGTGGCCTTTCCAAACCCGCCATGTATTTAATTAAGGGGGGAGGGGAGAAAACAGGATTATCAAAGCTGCTCACCTCCTGTGCGCTTAGTTTGCAAGGGTTGCTCACTGAGTAATTAATAATCCATTGCAATTAGCTGTAATGGGGAGGCAGCACTTGCTGCCAGTGATTCTGTAATTATTGCTGGGCCTTGAAAATTAATCCCCGGTATAGGGGCCCCATACATCATATACACAGACCCGTGAGGGGTCCCAGGGGCTGGTGGGGACCATACAGGGTGGTCTAGGGGAAGCTGTGCCTTTCATCCCAACAGCTCCTCTGGCAGCAAGGGCATTTTCGGCCGGGCTGGGAGGAGTCCAGAGGTCCCTTATCTCCCACTGCAGGTTGCGCTAGTCCCCCTGGGACAAGGGAGTGGAGTCCTTCCCCAGGTGGCAGCCTGAGCTGCAGTTGCAAGAGACAATGCCGTGGCGCAACTGCTAGCGCCCTGGCTTTCAACACCGCTGATTAAAACACTGGCGGCCCTTCCCAGCACAGGCCTGGCAGGATGGTGCTGGCTGGGTGACAAGAGCCCCTGGGGAAGGGGAGCAGAGGGGAATATCCTGAATTAACACCCAAATACCTGGCGCCAGCTTTATTCTGCTGGCCAGTGCTCACATCCCACCCCCCAAGAGCCATGAGGTTACCTGGTGGGGAACCCAGAAATAGGAAACCCCACCCATGTCTGGCAGCTGGGCAAGCGCAAACCTCACATCCTTTACCTAGCTTCTCCTTGTATCGCTGCTTCCACCACAAAGGTCCCTTTGCTCTTTAAGCCACTGAGAAGAAGGTGGAGGTACAGGGTGGCTTTTCCCAAGGCCGTGCAAAAGATGAAGGATAGCAAGAGGAAGTGTCCTGCATCCCCAGTCCCATAGCAAGCTGGTGCCAAGTCTGAGCCCTCTTTTCCTACCCCATGCTCACTCTTTTATGCCCCAATGCCACAAGGAGTGGAGCGTGCTTTTTATGCCCATCTTGCAGAAAGTGGAGCCCAAAGGGGCCAGAAAATGCTAGGAAGGACCGCAAGTGAGCAGGCCCCTATTTACGATCATTACTTAGTGACAAAGGGGAAAGGAAATAGGTCACAGAAGCTGCAAAGCTCCCACTTGGGTGGCAGTGGGTTGTTTATTATTATTATTTTAATTATTAGTATTTTTAGTTTAGCAACTTTTGGCAACCACCCACCAAGCCGCAGGGGGTGCATGAATCTCTCCTACAGGATCAACATCTCTCCCTCTTTCACTTTCCTGGCTGTGGTGGGACAGCAGGGCAGGCATATCCCACCACCCCCCTGGGATGGGTACCCCCAGAAGTGAGAGTCAGGCGACTGGCATCGCGCTGGGGTCCGCTGCATTTGGGGGGTGGTCGGCAGAGGGGCTGTTACTCACATCCATGTAGTTCTTCAGGATCTCCGGAGTGGGCTCAGCCAGGTCAGCGAAGCCCAGCTTGAACTTGAGGAGCTGGGTGAGGGCGTTCATGTCCGGGATCTCGCTGCCCACCTCGTTCAGGACGCGCCGCATGGAGGGGAACTTGGTCAGGGGGATCCTGCAAGGGGAGGGCGGAGCGCCCACCTGTTAATGGGAGTGTGTGTGTGGAGGGGTCACCCCGGGGAGGGGGGCCACACAGCTCCACCGAAACCAGGGCACCCGCCAGCATGGAGTGGGCGAGGTCTGGGCTCCTGCCAGCCCCCCCCGTGCCGGATCTCCCGTGCTCGGTGCTTTTCCCAAAGCTGGAGGACGGCGGGGAGGGAGGGCGGCGGCGAGTGGCTACCAAAGGTCACCGGGAATAGGGGAAGCCGGAGCGAGACCCCTCCATAGGCAGAGCATCAGCCCTGAACCCCATTTTGGGGGGTCCCAGCCCTTCCCCCCTCTGCTTTAACGGTGGGAGAACAGCACCGGGGCGAGGGGGGGTGCCTGCGAGAGGAGCCCGGAGGCCACCATTGCACCAGCACCCGGGGTGCCTGTCCCACGCCCCCCCCCATCCCCAGCAGACCCTGAGGGACCCCTCACGGCTCACCTGATGAGGGCCGCGCAGGGCCCCGCCAGGGCGAGCAGCAGGAGGAGGCCGCGGGGCCCCATGGCGGCGGTGCTGGCGGTGCTGGCGGTGCTGGCGGTGGTGCTGGCGGCCGGGGGGGGGCACCGAGGCCGGAGGGTCCCGCTGCTGGCAGGCCGCGACGCCGCCTGCCCGGCTGCCTTCCCTGTTTTTGTAGGAGCGGCGGCCCCTCTCCAGGGATTTTTCGAGTCAGCTGACGGTCTAAAATTGCAACCAGCGGCGTCACGTGAGGGCGGGCCGGGGCGGGGGCTCCCGCGTGGGGTGCGGGGCCGTGGGTGCTGCCTCACGCCCCCCCCCCAAGTCGCCAGGCCTGACCCCCGGTGCCTCGGCCCATGACTCAGCCTCCGGGAAAAGGGGAATAAACACCATTAAAAAAATCACGAGGCGCCCCGCCGGCCACGCGTGCTCGCTTCTGTTCTGTCTGTAACTTCCTTTCTGTTGGCTTTGTTTTTGTTCTTTCCAGGTTTTCTGGCTTTTCTCTCTTCCCGGGGGAGAGGGGCACCCCCCCCAGGCCAGCAGCCCCCCCCCCGAAACCCTGCTGAGCACAGCCCCCCGCCCCAGCCTGGCACGGTGAGGGCTCAGCCTGCTCAGGGACCGCAGCCACGCGCCCACCGTCACCAGTGGGGTTTAATTTTTGCAGCCAGGCTCACCGGGATGTCTGCACCCCCCCGCCCAGGGGGGCCGTGGCAGCCCCCTGGCCCCGTGCTTCTCCCTGGCCCCAGGATACCCCCAGTTTGGGGGGACTCATCCCTCCAGGCTGGGTTTTTTTGGGGGGAGATGGGCGTATCCTGGCCTATAGCTTGTTTGGGAGGGGCCGGGGGGGGAGGTTGCCAAGCTAGATGTGCCCCCCCCTCGAAATGCCACCGTGGCAGTACTGGGCCGCTTACAGTCATTGAGGATGATGCTGGTGCCGGGCAGGAGCACTGGGACGGGCTCTTTTCTACCTCCTGGCTCAGAGGTGCCACCCTGCCAGCTTGGGAGGTGGCGGACGGAGCTAATCTCTGCCCAGTTCGCCCTGACCAAGCTCTTACAGAGCCACGAGACCAGCTGGAAAAAAAATACAAATAAAATCGGATTTACAGACACTTTCCCTTCCAAGTCCTGAGGGCTAGGGGTGTTTGTTTTCTGTTCCTGCTTGTGCCCAGCCTTGGGGATGGGAGAGCAGCAGCCTGTGGGAAGAGCCGGACACTGCTGGAGTGGGGGACCCCTGGCTTCGTGACGGGGTCCCTGTCCCTTGCCCGCCTCCTTCATGTTCATTCAACTTCTGGAAAATCACTGGGTCATGTTGCTAGCACCTGGCTTGCACCATCTCCTCCCCACCCTCCCTTCCTGAGCCTCTTCCATCTTCCCAAGGCCTCACGCAGCATCCCGCTGCCCCAGGTCTGTGCCTCCCGACCCTCAACTGTGGTCCGTGCCGAGTGTTTTTAGGGGGTATTCTTGCCCTGGGCTGTGGCTTTCCCCACTAGCTCTCCAAATTGCCATGCCGCAGTCAAGCGGGGGGTATTGGGAAACCTGCCGCCTCCCTGTGGGACATGGCACCCATTGGGATGCGGTTTTCCAGAGCGATGGCTGGAGGCATTGCTGAGTGCGCCAGCTCCCGTTATTTCGGCCAGCCCCCGCTTCCCTCCTGTCCCGCGGGCATGTGGTCAAGGCGAGTGCCACTGACCCTGAGTCAGCAAAACCCAGCGCCCTCCTGGCCCCGCGGCACTGCGTGACTCAGCAAAACCCTGCGTGGCTCTTTTTGGGCAAGGGACCAAGGCGTGGCATGTCCCCAGCATCTGTAGCCCAAGCCCAGAGGCATCACTGCTGCTGTGGGCTCCAGCTTGGGGGTATCCTCCTCTTGTCCCCCTGGGTACCGGCAGCCCTGGTACTGAGTGCCCATGGGTGGGAGTGGGTCAGACATAAACTAACCTAACCGCGGTCCCAGTCAAGCAAACCCACCCTCCCCAAGGGCTCTAAACCCCTTTGCAAATACGCTTTTCAGACAAATACGCTGGGCCTGGGGCTTCCCTACACCCTTTCAGGCTCTCCCAGAGCCTGCGGTGGAGCTGGGGAGGTACCGGCCCTCCTCCCTCCTCTTTGAAGTGGTTGGGAAACCATAGCTGGCCAGACAATGTGCACCTGGCCCCCAGGCTGGGGCACCTACGGCATCTCCTCTGTGAGCATTTCCAGTCTAGCCAGTCTCTCCCAGCGTCTCATGGCTACAGAGCGGGCTCTGGCGTGCAGGGATGGGCTGGTGAGGACAGCACACCATGCTAGCCCCGTACCATCACACGGTGCAGTGCAAAGTCCTTCAGCAGGGTCAAGCAGTCCGGACCCAGTCTGTGTCTGTTTTTTTAATTCCAAGGGATTAAGGGCAAGCTTTGCTGTTAGCAAAGTTGTTATGAACAATCCTTAGCTTGGGCTTCGTGGTAGCAGGGCTTGTGTCTGCATCCAGAGCTGCTCTCATACCAACATGAGAGAATCACTGCTTTTAGACATGCTTCCCTAAGCAACTTATGTGTCCATCGCACTGGGCAGCCCAGACGCTTCCCAATGGTTTATTGGGAAAAAGGGAAGATGGGGCTGTGTCAGGGAATGTTATGATGCTGATCCTCTCCTGAATGCTTACAGGCTGGGAAAGGGATGGGGGGCTTATCCCCAGAGTGTTTAATTTGGCTCCAGCCCGTGGCACCAGTGGTTTTGGAGCTGACACCACTGTGCTTGCATGCTGGGGGACCAGTGGGCCCAGCAAGGAGCCAGGATTTCTGCATTTGGGCTCCCTCAACACCTCTGTGTGATGTTTGCCCTGATGTCAATGTCTTGAGAGGTACAGCGGGGATGTTTAACCAGGAGCCAGGAGCACATCTGGGTATTTATAGGCTGGAACCATGAGAGTTGCACCATGTTATCTTCAAAAGATAGACTGGCATGAGCCTGGCCTTAGGGGTTTTTACACATTTTTCCTTGCTTGCGGAGCAAGAACCTGAGTGCCGCAGCTGAGGTGTCTGGAGCAGGCAGGGATGTGCAAGAGATGGCCAAGGGACCTGTCCCTCCTTGCTCCCATTTTCAGCATGGTGGATGAACCCCTTTCCTTGCTGGTCTGTCTCCCTGGCCCCCTGTATCCCCTCAGCTCTGGTGGGTGAGCCGGAACGCTGTCCCCCGTGGCCACGGCCCTGGGTGTGGGGTGACGCGCCCCTAGGAGTGGGTCATGCTTTCGCAACCTCAATCCCTGCCAGAGAGGATTCCCAAAGGCGGGGGGGGGCTTGAATGACTCAGCCCCAGCGGCTCCCGCAGGGAGGAGCACCCTGGCCCCGGGAGATTGGGGTCCTCTCTGTGGGTGACGCCAGGCTGTCCCACCTGCCCTTTGCCACACGGCCACGGACCTGATGCTGCTTAGTTTCAAACTCTTTTATTTTGGGGGGGGCTCTAGCAGCTCCCCCATCTGCAGTCTGGCAGCAGTCTATCAGGGATGCTACGGTGGCGTCTTTCTCTTTACACATGGCTGTGCATTTGCCTTCACCCTTTCCTTGATTTTTTTTTTTAAAATTTATTTATCGCAGCAGTAGCCAATGCCCTGAACTGCAATGACATAATGGGCAAGGAAAGCTTCGGTTCAGAAATGCCGATTATTTTTTGGCCAAGAGATGTCAAATACAAAGCTGCAGGTGGGATTTCTAGAGGACAAACATCTTCTTTAAATTCAGAAAAACGGGTTTGGGATTTTGCAGCTTGTTGCTAAAGGATAAAAGAAAATTATTCCTTGGTTTGAGCTGAGCAGAGCCTACAGGTGCACAAGCCTGGGCAGGTCTGGTTGCAAACACCCTGACTCCAACTCAAGGTCCTGGTGCCAGTGTGAACTGCTGGATGCAGCTAATTAGCGGAGCCTGATTCACCAGCCCTGGGCCCCCGAGCGAAGCAGTGGTAACTTTTTCCTGGTGCAGTGCCAGGACCTCACCCACTCCCAATGCTGTTTCCTAAACTGACATACAATTTGCAAGGTGAGGGTACGTTTTCCAGTGGTACCGGCACATCCCAAATTACGCCCTTTTTCTGGGTGACACCCACAAAAGCAAACCTGAAGGTGCTTTAGTAGCAGCTCCGGCTGATGGGAAACCTGGGAGCAGGGGAGGGGTTGCACTGAGCATGGCAAAGGGACTCATTCAGGCTGTGGCCACCATGTCCCAGCACTGTGGACACTGGGGGGAGGTGTCCTGGGCATCATGGGCGGTGACAATTCCCAGCCCATCGGTGCTGGCTGGCTGGGGCTGGTTTGGAGGCAGATCTGGCCAGCAGCCTGCTTAAACATTTTTTGGCTTCCAGCATGGGCTGCAGTGACCTTGGGGAGATGCTAAGTGGAGCTGCAAAAGGCTTAGGCTGGGTGGTAATTGTTCCCTTGGTGTCTCCGACATAGCAAATCCTGATCCCGGTGGCGGGTGAGGGTGGCTTGCTGGCAGCTGGGTGGCATGGCTGGCTGTCACGATGGGCAGGAGCCCTGAGCGTGGCTCCATCTCCATCAGGGCCGTTTGTAGCAACCTTTGAGCATGGGGTGCTTTCACGCCAGTGGACCTTGTTCATCAGATCCTGCTCTTCCAGCCTTTCCCCTAGCTATTTAACAAAAAGAAAGGCTTTATGCAGCAAAATGCTTATGGTCTTTAAGCCCGTGAGCTGCCCTGGTGTCTTCACTAGGGTTTACCTGTACACCGCCTTGCCTCGCTGGGCTGCTGCCAAACCCGTCATCACCCGTCCCCACGTCCCACGCCCTCCGTGGCCCTGCCCAAATCCCCGCTGCCCCCACGCCACCTGCGCGCACCTGACCCCGCTCGGCGTCGGACGTCCTTCCGCATCCCCCGGCCTTCCTCCCCCGTGGCCGGGGTCACGCCTAGCACCCACCTCGGGGAGGATGGGACCTGCCCCACTCCGGCTGTCGGCCCCGTCCTCTCCTCGGGGCAGGGATCTCGTGGTGTTTGCCTCACCGGAGTTATTTTGCAGCGGGCTGAAATTGCTGGGGACGGGCAACAACAACCCCGGCAGGCGCTGGCAGCAGGCAGCGTGACCGGCGGCTGACGGGATGGGGCGGTAAGTGGCGACGATGGCATCAATTCATCGCCTCCCACGCCAGGATGTGATGGGGAGCACTGAGACCCGGCTCACCTCATCGCCCGCCTTGAGCAATCCCTGCTGCGTTCCCTGGGG